AGCAGATGTAGTTCTGTTGTGCTCATTTAGTGGTACATGTCAAGGTCTAAACAGACATGGCAGAACATACTCCTGTCAAATTCTAACTCAAGGCAAGTTAGAAGAAATCACAGCCCTTGTAACATGATATTAAATGTTTCTCATGTTCAAGAGGAAGTTGTTAGGAATTCAGGATAGGAATTGAACAGTCTGTGTTGACATGGTGTACTTGCCTGCTGATCAGATACTGTGACAAATTTTCACCTTATTGGTTGCTATTTTTCTCTTAAATAAGCTTGTTCACAAATTTCTCTATCATTGGTTTAGATTGCATTGAAGAAGCACCACTCCAGTCTCCAAGGCTGGTTACATATCTCTGAAACCATAGTAGTTGGGGCATTTCCTAAATGTTTAAAGCTTTTCTAGTGTTTGCAAATTTTATGTGAAAAATACTAAAGTTTGGCAATTGTTTTGTTTTTTTTTTTAATTTTGCCACTGAAGCACAATATTTGAGTCTAAGTTTAGGTATGTACAGCAGCTGAAGTGCTGCGTATTCATTGGTTTTGATAGAGTAACGGTTTATTTTCTTTCATCTTGAATATTGACAATCAGCACTGAGTTATCCAAAGAGCTCAGTTATCCCAAGCTTGTGATCATTTGGGAGCTCTCAGCTCATGTTAGTTTATCTTGTTTATGAAGAGCCAGTTCTTATTTGAAAGTACCAAGTAATCATAGTTGCGTGATTCTACACTTGGACTGGGAGCAGATTGTCAGTGGCTTTGTAAACTTATCCATAGAAAAGATTCCCTGATATCTTTCTCTGCCTCAGAATTTGTGTTATGTACCTAGCTTAGAGGTAGAGAAATGTATTTGGCTTGGCTTCAAAAAAAAAAAATGATCCACTTATTCATCTGTTATTCTTCCCGTTCAGCTTTTCCATGAGTATATATGTGCTTTCTTTTCAGAGACGTACCATATCAAACCCATAACTGCTTTAAATACATTATGAAATACCGTTTCAGAATAAAACATTTACCTTTTTAAATTAGAAATTAATCTTCTTGTTGAGTTTTATTTTGGAAGAGAGAGCTGATTGAAGTTTTAAAAAAATGGGGTTTTTTGAAAGAGAATACTATGTTTCTTTTGATCCAAAGTGATTTGTCATTTGGGGTACTGAAGTGAAGAAGGAATGATTTTGGAACTGACAGACATAATTTTCAGAAGTAAAAAGAATTTTGAAGAGAACTCACTTTGCTTTGACTGAAACGGTAACCTGGAATTGCCAACTCTTCAATCACAAACTTTTTTTTATCACACAATGTGTATGAAAGGTAGTTATTAAAAGCAAGAATTTAATATTCATCCTCAGATAAGCCAGGGCAGGATTTGGGCATGAGAAAAGAAAGAGCAGGCAAGCGTAACACCTTTCCTGAATTTTGCATTACCTTCTCTCTTCCTTCCATCCAGCAAAGCTAAGAGGAGTCACTATTACCACTCACTATAATCACAATTGTATCAGACCAGTAGCCTTCTTTCAAAGGGAAAACCCCTGCTGTTACCACCCCTCCTGTTTCTAACACCAGAAACTTTTTTTTTTTTTTTGTCAGTGGCAGCAGGCAGGATTCGTCCCTAATGTTGAGTCATCAAAGTCAGAAGAACACACTGGGAGAAGAACTGCTGAAATTGTTTGGTCAAAATTAAGCTCTTAAAATTATATTTGAAAAATTAGCTCTTGGATTCTGATAGGCAATCAACTGTTATCTTTTTCATTCCCATCTTCTCACTCCTTTTCCCTCAACAAGTCCTTTGGAATCAGAAGCAAAGCTCATCTGTGTATGTGTTATCTATGAGTTAATACTTTTTAATAACTCAATATGAACTGATAGTGAATCCATAAAATGCATACTTTTGAGTACTTTTAAAAGAACACTTCATTTTATTATCGTTATTTTGTCTTATTACAAGAGAAGGAAGTACTGCCTAGTTCCTCTAGCAATATGTCAACATGAGAAAAACCTGCGTGGATCTTCAAAATGGTATTTATAGCGATGGTTTCCATCGTACTGCTGGAGGAGTCAGAAGGAATATGAGTCTGTATGGTCTATGCATGTTTGAGTTGCCCTTTCATCTGTTTCAGTTCCGTTTTCAGATTGGGAAGCCAAAAGACAGTAACTGCAATGCATGCTGCCATGTGTATATGCAGTAGCTGACAGGAGAAAGAAAGAAATCTCTGTTTCAACATGTGTGATGAAGTCTGAGTATGGTTTCAAAATAGTATTTCAGAATGCAAACCTGGCAGATTTATGATAAGACTTATTTGAAAGAATTGTTTCTACCTTAAAGGCCAACAAAAAGGCACGTAAGGTTGTGCTGTGGTTAAGAATGGCAGGGACCACTGCTCCAGGTAACTGGAGATGCAGTGAGCTCTGACCATCACAACATCTCCTGTCCTCAGGGCAGCTGCTGTCTAGTTTGTTTCCTGACACAATTAAGAGTGGCTTCAGTCTTACAGTAGTTGTGCTGAACAGTATCGACATCTCTTTCCTACGTCTGCACAGGTGGTTGCAGCAGCACCTCCCCGCCTCTCATGCCAACAGGGTGCAGAGGACCCAGCTGATGTGGTCCTTCTGTCAGAGGCTTCTCAGGGGACTGTAGGCAAGTCAGACCCGTCTATAAATCTATAGAGGTGTCATCCTTGTCTCATCAAGGTGTTGTGAGTGTAAGTGTATTAAGCATTGTAAGTCTCCATTGCTTAATTAAGGAAGCCATATAAACAGCTTTGGCAGATAAGTTTCCTCACTCTTTCTTATTTACCGATGGAACCTACATGGAACACATAATGTACTTTTATTCAATGATATTAGTGAAGTTGTCTAGATAAGGATTTCAAGCAGCAGTGAGGACTGCCTGTAAATTTGGAAGCTATCTCTTTTAATCATTTCTCATTATATATCTAGAACAGATTTTAAGTCCATATACCCAAATAAATACCATGAAGAACTGTATGATCAAAATAGCCTGTACATGTAGGTTGGAAAGGAGAGAAGGTGCATTATAACTGCATGAAACAGATTTTACTTATGACCAAAACTTGCTTCTATTAATGGAACTTATTTTCTTGTTTTGTAGCTTGCAGGCCTGGATTCTATAAAGCATTTGCTGGAAACGTAAAGTGCTCCAAGTGCCCTCCACACAGTCTGACTTACGTAGAAGCAACTTCTGTCTGTCAGTGTGAGAAAGGTTACTTCAGAGCTGAGAAGGACCCACCAACTATGGCATGTACCCGTAAGTCTGATCAGTACCGGAGTCTGCAATTCTCTTCTCCTGTGCCTCGTTTATTTATTTTTGTATTTGAAAAAAATGATGAGTCTGTATATTTTGTGAAGAATTCCATTCAAGATAACCAAAACAGATTTTTAAAATCAAAATTCAAACAGTATATTTCTATTTAGTGTAGATATCCCTAAAAATACTCATATTTCTTAATCTGGTGACTTTTTAACTTCTAGTTCTGAGAGATAATACAAGGTATGTAATCATTTTCGTATAGATAAAAATGTTGACTTTTAGCTGCCAGTATGTATTTCAAATACATGAAAATATGCTTGTACAAAAACTTTCAAAAAACTGAGGAGTCATGTAAGGAAAATCTGATATGGCATACTCTGCTGTCTCCCCAGATTTAAATGAAAATTATAAGACAACTATAATCCCAACATAATTGAATAAAAACTAAACTTTCTAAAAAATAAAATCATAACAAGAAAGGAAAAAATATCTACCCCATCACAAGGAGATACAATTAAACCGTCTTGCATATCATCTTCTTTCACCAGAGTTATTCCCTCTTATACAACTGTGATAATGAGAATTATTCAGATTTTTTGCTAATTTTAAAAAGACAACGTTTTGTGATTTTTGACTAACCTAAATTTATCATTAAGATAAAACTGATGCTCAGCAATCTAGGGGCAGAAATTGTAACTGAGAAGAGATTTTATTACTTTGATCAGTATGCTCATGTCTAGAAACATAGAGCATACATTTTCGTCTCACTTAATAAAATATTTCTCATGGATTTTCATAAGTGGATCATTACTCACTGGGATTTACTTATTGGTCATAAAGCAGCAATATCGGTTTAATCTCAAAACTGGGAGCAAACAGCAGCATTTGAAAATCTATGAGTCTAATACTGTATTTACGTATAAAATCCTATTATTTAATAAAGATGATTAACAACCATTTGCAAAATTTTCTAAAATACCTAGTTTTCTATATAGCTTTTTGTTAGCTCTTGTGGTAGAGGATTCGATTCAAGTACATTTCGTGCCACAGTCCTCTTGTTAAGAGAATTCTAAAAAAAATAGTGTTAAATCCGTGAAATATTTTAACGGACTAAGTATTCAAAAAGCTGAAGAGATAAAAACAAAGTACTGCTGCAATAACCATCCGTGTATAGTCATAATTTTGATATGTTTATATCGCGTAAGGCAGCACCATATAAAAATAACTGAGCTGACAGTAGCAGAATTGAACTACTTCCTATGCTCATGCTAGTGTCTCCAAATGGTATTGTACTGGGCAAAGTGGGAATGTACCAGGTAATTTGGAGCTGATTTACAACGTCACAGGCACTCTGTAATCCTGAGGTCATTACGTAGACCAAGACATTGTCCCTGCACTAAGTGGGAGTGATGGGCACTAAAAATGGCATTCCTCAGATCCAAGGCACTTAGCAGAAAGTTGTCTAGTCTAACCATAGGATTTTCAGAGGAGAAGGGTAAGTCCCAGCCTCCAGCTACTTTAGGTGCCATAAGGTTCAGAGAGGCATCCCAATCCAACACACGCAATCTACTGTCAGCTCACTCTGGAGCAAGACACATAGGCCTATCTTTTTGCACGAAATACGTGAGGGAGTAGACTATATTGTTGCAGACTTCCCACAGGAAAATGGTGATTACAAATGATTCCACTCAAATGAGCGCCCTGAGGACAGGCCATTAAAACTTACCCACAGAACTAACACACATCCCAGGCACTCTTGACAGTTTCATGCTTAGAAAGATGGTTTCACTCATGCATTATGCAGATGTGGTTCCATGTTATTTATAAGTCATTGATTTTTCATCTCCAAAAGAGTTTTTCTCTGAAAAAATTACTCATACATGGTATTATGTTTCCATAATTATCTTCCAGGGCACAATTTTAAGCTCTGCTACCCGTTAGTATTGATAAGGTAGGGAGGAGCATGAGAGCCCTGTGGCACCAGGGAGCAGCTACCTACAACACCTCAGTGCTTTCCCAACAAAGTGAGATGCTGAGATCTGCTTTGGACGACAACTGTCAGGGAAGACTTGCTGCCAGACCTCACCACTCGTGCTGAGGATGTCAGCCAAAGCAACCAAGTGAGTGGAGGCAGGGAAGAAATCAACCACAACAGTGGTACCAGTGCCCCCTCTCACCACAACTTGTGAGAAGTAAGAAATAAGGTAGATAGTGAACCACATTCTAGTTTCTGCCTTTCTCTTGGTTCAGTGCCACCATTCATTGCCTCTCATTCAGCCTAGATGGCAAAGTATCGGTACTTCATTGACTGCAACAGCAGATGTATTCAACTTACACCTGTGATGATGATTGTTTCACTATTTGTCAGCTCTGCAAATGATGCTAAGACTCTTGACAGGCAGACTGCGTTCTTATCTTCTTGCACATCATCAGTAATGAAGAGTCTGCAGGCCAAATTATTCCCTGAGTGATATCTTTAGCCCCATTGCTTTCAAATTATGCTCTCAGTTATTAAAATTATGTTTCTGTCATAAATACAGCCTCACTGCCTTCGGTGGATCTGTGCAGATGTGGCTAATTTAAATTTAATAAACAAAGATACAGATATGAGAGAGAGTAGAATTTAAATTGTTCCTTCCAAACCATCATGCTTTACTATAATAAAAGGAGTTGAAAAGTTAGAAAAAAAAAAAAAAAGCCGATTTGACTAAATAGAGAGAAAAGGCTGTGCAGTAAGAAAATGGCTTTTCTACATAACCACTTTGGCAGATCTGCATTTTTGATGTTCATTTGCAAATTTGTATCCTGACATGTGAGACGTGAGATAAGAAATTACCAATTTTTCTTGTGATTTTTAAAATGAGAGTTGTTCCTGAATCAAACACAGAATGAGTAGTAGGTTCTCTTTACAAATTTCTTCCTGTTCAAACATTTTGAAGCAATTGTATTCATACCTATTTTTTTTTTTTGCTTTCCCAAGTCCTGCAAAGCAATATGCCTAAGACAGGTAGATATTTTATTCTCTCTGTCTTTTCATTTCTGTAGAATACTATTAGACACTATTCCTCAGTCCAGAATTTTTCCTCAGTACTGGAAAACTTGCATATGCAGCATTATGGAAAATAAGGATCTTGATTTAGAAGACTATGAATTTAAGACTTTAGCTTCAGGCATCTACTTTTTTCAAGACAAGCTTCAAATCTAATTTCATTAATTCTGTAAAAGTGCATACTGTATGCTTTTCTGAAATTGTAAAGTTCCCATTTTTATTTCATATAACTGTATTTTGTAAAAGAAGAGTGTGCACTTTGCAGAAAAGCATAATAGAATTCTGATTTTAATAAGACGAAAGAAAATTACATTAGGATATATTGTTAATCTCTTTCTCCTAGCCTTTTTCCATTTGATTGGCACTTGTTATCAATCTTTTGCTGCTACTCTCTCTCCTTATTGTATTTCTTTGCCATATGTGAGTACTCTATCAGTGATCTCTCTGCATACACAGAGAGCAACAACTAGCATCATACCTAATCCCTTGTCTGATTACTCTGTACGTAAACTCTAACATTTCCCACTATAATGTAATTGGATAAATTGATCCTTCTTTCCAAGGTCAAAGGCAAGCAGGCTTATACTGGGTGCCTGAGAATGAACGCATCTCTTTTCATGTTATGCTTAAACGATTTTGAACCCAACAAACTTGTGCTCTGTTCAATAACCTCTGCCACAAACTGTATCCTCTATTTTTAAGAGTCAACGCTGTATTCCAGCAGCAAAATCAAGCAACATGCTTGAATCCTTTGATTTTACTGCCCCTTTTGTTATTTTTATATGTATACTTGTTTGCAATTTAGCATTTTACTCCGACTTGGAGTATTGGTTTGCAGTCACTGGCTTCCATTCCTCCTGCCTGCCTCACAGAAAAAGAAGTGATTCTGTAAAGGAAAAAAATGTAATACATCATTCTACATCAAGTGGTTCTACTTATCCATGCTACATGTACATATGTATATCCAAAAGCAATTATGAACTCAAGAGGCATAGCCAGATGCTGACTCTGGGTATCTCAGAAGATGATGATTGATTTTTGCCCTTCCATTGAAATTTTTCCCTCTGAGGGTGGTGAGGCACTGGAATAGGTTGCCCAGAGAAGTTGTAGATGCCCCATCCCTGGAAGTGTTCAAGGCCAGGTTGGATGAGGCTTTGGGCAACCTGGTGTAGTGGAGGGTTTCCCTGCCCATGGCAGGGGGGTTGGACCTAGATGATCTTTAAGGTCCCTTCCAACCCTAACCATTCTATGATTCTATGATTCTAAATTCAGTAGTCAAATAACACACACTTCTAAGAGTCCAGTACTTGGTAATGGACAGTTCTCACTTAAAACCCAACAGTTTTGCACACAGTCAGCACTCTGTAGTGTTTAAAATACGGCATTACCCCCACTAGACTTCTGCATCTTTAGATTTGCTCCTCTTTCCTTCCATAAAGAGCAAAATGCATTTCGCCTTCACAGAGAGAGAGGATATGCAAAGCAAAACGAGGTGCGAAGCACTGCATGAGGCGTAAACTCGGCTCTATTTCTCTTGGAAGTCATCTTAAGACATCAATGCATCTCCTCCACAGAGTGTAGAAATACTTTTTAACGTTATAATTTGTAAATGAAGCAAAAGACATTGCTCACACTCGGGCTGTGTTTTATCCAAGAGGCAGAAGAGCTGCATTTTTTTTAATGCTCATCCATCTGAACTATGTTTTACTCTTTTGCATAAAATCCAAAGTCATGAATTTTACCGTAAGGAAAGGATCCATCCTTTTCACCAATATACTTTTTTCCTTAAAAATCAATATAAGGAAATCCCTGAGAGGTTTGCGCACAGATGTTTGCAGAATGGTTATTGCTGCCAAGTTTTTCCAATGTGTCAAATAATCTTTGTATAATTTATAAATGATAACAAAGCAATCAGGCCACATTCATAAGAGCCCAGTGACACATAATTTAGCTGAATCTGAGGATTAGAATTAATTGTCTCTCTTTGTTCCAAGTTCTAAATCTTAGTAAATGATTCACTGCATGTCATTACAGCTTAATATTTGCATGAAATCACAGTTTAACTGGCATAATTTAACAGCAATTAAAAAGCTATTTTATCATCATGCAAATTGGCATGAGGAGCCTTGAGTATGAAGGGTGTCTGAGGTTTTTTCAGTATTTGCAGGCGGACAGTCATATACTTTCAGACATCCCTAACATAATTGATAATGTTCTCCCTATTCACTGAAATGTGAACATACAATAATTCATGTATTCTCTTACAATTGAGGAGTAAGTCCTGAATCATGAATATAACAACCTTCACACTCTAGTACAAATAAAAATAAATTTTTAAAAAAGTGTATTTTATCTACTGTATTGGTTATTCTGCTTATGCTATCTACATATAGTATAACAAAAATCTGATAGAAAATTGACAAAGCCAGACAAAACTCTCCGTTTGCCCAGATTCACATTAATTCCTGTTTTGGCCTGCCGAAGTTGATGAAGTAACGTAAAAAAAGCCCGAGCTATGATGACCCATTGTCATAATATCTATAGTTTATGTAAGATCAAATTTAAGCCAGTTTTAAAACATCGGCTCCAATCCTTCGAGCAATTACACACATGCTTGGTTTTAAGTGCATGAGTATTACCAATTATTTCAAGGGGATTACTGATCCGCTTAAAGTTATGGACATATTTAAGTGCCATTAAGGCTCATCCTCCATATTCCTAAAACTCCATATTGGTTTTAACAGTGGGAATTTGTTAAGACCAGTCATTTAATTCTCACTGCATGTTTTTAGAGGAAACATAATTATTCCTGTCTTGTGCACATAAATAATAAGAGCTGAAGCTGAAGTAATCTGTGCTGCTTTTAGCTTATTCTGATTTCAGGACTGTTTTCCAGAGCAGCTGGAACCATCAAGCTCACCATAGTTTAATCGGAAGTTTAGAGATTTGTAAATCTGAGACACTCTAAGGTTGTAGGGGCTTTCGGACTGCATCAGCTTCTTTAAGGCTGTACCTTGTCTCTGTTTTCCACAACATTGGAAAATGATGTATCAATATAATTAGCCCTTGTTAATTGAAATTATAAATACTTACCTATTACAGTATTGCAAATGCTTCAGTGTTAGACTTATCACAAAGTCACAGTCAAAGACCAGGAAGGAAATATTAAAAATATTCCCTGTGACCATAAATATTGGAAATTACAAAAATATTTTTCATCTGACAGGTTCCAGAAATACTGATCTTCAGTACAAATGAGCCACATACTGTTCAGCTAAATGATTCCTTGATACACTGAAAAATAGATGATTGTTGCTGTCTGAGGATTTTTGGCTGGTGACTATGAACTCGGCACAGATAGATATACAAATAAATACTCACACATTCAAAATATTTTAAACTTTCCACTAAAATAATGCAAAGCGATGTAACACATCTGAGTATTTTAATTATCAAGTGTTTGAAATCCAACAGCTAACTCATCCTTTACTTTAGGGCAAAAGTCATTTCAATGAAAACATAGTCTCAGTTATTTAAAGTTACAAATAAAAGCCAGAAAGAAAAAACCAACTCAAGTGTTCAGCTACAGTCACGTAAAAACCTAACATTTATTAGTTCAAACTGTCCCTCTCACACCATACAACCTGTTTTTCTCTTTACAAACTTTATAAGCATTTCAGCTTCTATACTCACATTTATGCCACATAAGCAATTACAAATTACACAAAATTACAAATGTCGGTGAATGGTGACTTTTTTTCTGCAACTACTATTGCATCTTTCCTTCAATAGAGTTAGTATTCATTCTTGCTGCTGTGTGTAAGTACAACTGTATGGATCTTTACTACCATATAGGTTATTAGTAAGGTGTAAGATATAGTAATATTTTCTATTAAAGTATAGTCCATTTTAGTATTCAGAGTCATCTTCAAGAATTAATAACTTGAATAAATTTATTTATTTCAGTCGTAGGTGCATATTTCAGAATCAGTCATGGGCTTCATTTTCTAAATCACTCCATTTTCTTCAGTCAAATAAATAGCTAAAAGTTTGAAAATGGAATCAGTGTATCAGTGCTGTAGTAATTGCAGATCATAAGGAAAAAAAGAAATAATGGAATTGAATGATTAAAAAAAGTAGCGTATTTTTAATTTTTTTTTTTTTGGCTGAGATTTGAGATCCAGATTTACATATGAAATGTTAGGAGGAGCTTTGGCTTTTTTTTCCTTCTGAATGCAAAGTTGTAACAACTTATCTGACTGTCTTTTGGGCACAAGGTCTTGCCCTCATGTTACAAGTTGTTAAAATGAAATTTCAAGAGTGTTGATCAATATTTATGTTTGTTTGTAGCTCTTCTCTCATTGTCTTAAAGTTTTTATAAAGGACATTACGATATTTTAATTATCTGACTCTCCCAGATTTACTGTGCCACTCAATTTGTTGGGTGAAGTGCACTCTGCATAAGAATTAGCTGATGTCATTTGCAAATGTTTCATATAGCCTTTCAGTCTGCTTGAGAGGCCCTGAAGTAATGAAAAACTCAAAGTTTGAGCAGTGTCTCAATCAAAACTTTACAGTTAAGTTCTGCTGGCAGGTTGTATAAATCATGAAAAGCTGCAAAGCAAGCTGAAAGTTTTCAAAGTTCTGCTAACCATTGGCTAAACAATCTGTGGGCACTGTGGGTTAATGTTGAGAGCTGGGAACGCTTGTTCAACTCTTTCAGCTCAAAAAACCCCAAGAGATTGCCAGCTGAGTTTACCACAGTCATTTTTTGTCTATCAAAACCTGGAGTATAAGGCCTTGTGTTTGGCCAAATCTTACGTAATTTCTTATGTAATTTTTATGGGCGTATTTTGGATCTATATACAAATTGGTTTTCAAGCCCATGTGTCTCAAAGTGCTTGGTTTGAAGTATGTCAAGTGGAAGAAGAATATAATAAGAAATGGAAATAAGATTATTTAGTCCTCCTTTAACAATTTCTGCCTTTCCTTCACCTCTTCACTAATTCCTATCTGAAAAATCATTTGGTGGTAAAGTTTTTCCATCAGACTGTGGAAGTCGATATATAAAGCCTCAGATGATTTGATCCTACACAGTAAGTCAACATAACAGCTTAAAACTTGTTAGCCATACCTTGGCTATTGTAGGATCCGTGGGAAGTGGTCACTCGTGGTTCATCTGACAACACACAGAGCGCTTTACACCTGCTCGCTAGCTGAGAGCTTCCCTGTACTCTGCCTGCTGCTGCTGTCTTTAAACGCATCCCTCCCCACAGACTTCAAGAATTATTTTTTCAACTGCTTTGAGGCCATCCTTCTAGATCTTTAGTTTGCAAGGTTGATGTCTTCACTGGTATATTGATGCTGATGAGGTGCCAGGTGGGAAAGAAAACACTTGTAAACTGTTTCTTGTGCCTGATAGTCTTGGCCTGTTGCCACCTAACTGTTAATGAACAGCAGCAAAGAAATCCCTGGGGATAAGCAGTGAAGGATAGAAAAAATATCTGGCACTGCAGAACTAATACAAACAATTTTTCATCTCGTAGTTATTCCAAAGCAGTCATTTATTTATTATTCAATTTAACTCTTATAAAACATCAAAGATTGTAAGTATCAGAAAAACCTACATTACTAGTCATAAAATAAGGAAATAAATTTTGTGGTTAAAGCTCTACCACAGTATCCCACAAGATCAAGAGATATTTAGTGCAAATGTGTGTTATCAAGTCCAGGTTTGACAATCCCAAGTCATTTTTATGTTGCCTTAAATGATTTCTGAATTAATTCTAATTTATTTAGATTACTCAACTTTTTATGATCTCACCTTTTATTGTTCCTGCTTAATTTTCAAGTATTTAAAGTATTGTGTTATTTCAAGAATTGTAAGTATTTAGATATTTTTAATTTTTCCATTGAATTTGTTATTGTATCATAACAATTTTAGCTTCTATTTGCAAACAGTTGCCTGAAGAGTAATATATTTTTTCTTTTATTTTTTTTTTTCCTCTAAAGTAGGCAGCTGCAGCTTAACAGGCTTTTCCCTCCTTCTCTGCAGGGCCACCTTCTGCTCCAAGGAATGTCATTTTTAACATTAACGAAACAGCTCTCATGTTGGAATGGAGCCCCCCGAGTGATACTGGAGGAAGAAAAGATCTCACTTACAGTGTCATCTGTAAGAAATGTGGGTCAGACACCAGCCAGTGTGAGATTTGTGGAGGAGGTATCCGTTTCATCCCCAGGCACACAGGTCTCATCAACTCCTCTGTGACGGTGCTTGACTTTGTGTCGCACGTGAACTACACCTTCGAAATAGAAGCCACGAATGGTGTCTCAGAGCTGAGTTTCTCTCCCAAGCAGTTCACAGCTATCACAGTTACCACAGACCAAGATGGTAAGTCCCAGCACTGCACGGCTGTTACTGTGCCCCTGTCATCTATGCACTTATTAGGGGGATCATTTTGTTTCTTGGAAGCCTGGGAAAGCAAATTAGGATGTTTTGCAGATCTTTTTAAGTGCTTTTGGTGAGGACTACCAGCCTCTGCTGATGAGAGCACTAAATGCTTTTGGCAGGTGGCCCTCGACCCCAGTACACAGGGCACAAAAACGTATCTTCCTGTTTAAAGTTAAGTGCCAGCTTTAACTACCTGGGACTAACTGTATCAGTGGTTCATCACAACTCGACTCTGCGTCTGGTGCTTTTCCAAGTCTTTCCTTATGATTCCGTTTTGAAAGAGTAAAAAACCAGAGATTATCTGTTGCAATTTCTCAATTCAAAGGTGACATGAAAGTGAACTCACTTACTTTAGTATCCGCGTTTCATAGTACTAATACAGAACGCTTTCCTGTCAGGTATTTCAATATCTGTATGAGACATTTCCTTAGGTGAGCTATCCTTATAGATTTTTTTGTTCCTTTAATTGTCCACTTTACATTGTTGTTTTGAGCTTTTTCTTCTCCCCATTTCAGTTAAAATTCATGTCCAAGGCTGACCTTTAGGAGAAACACGGGAAACTAAAAGAGCTCTATATTTTTGTTTATTTTTGCAACTTTTTCCTCTTCCATCTTTACAAATACTTACTATGCCAGGAAACAGCATCATAGGTTTCCAACAAAGAAACTTATATAGCAGCGTTCTCTTCTGGCTTGTGTTACTGTAGATAAGAAGGTTATTTCAAAATTATCCCTTGCTGACATTTGTTCCAGAAATGTTTTTCACCTACTGCGCAGTGACATTGCAACTGTAGCTGAAGTGTTTAATGTAGAACAGGAACCGAACTGGCAAAACTACAGTTTCGAGTAGAGAAAGTATTTAGTAAAAGTGCTAATGTTCAGGAGGATCTGTTATGTTCATCTTGTAGGAAGGCCCTGGGTTCTTTCATTGATCAGCCTAGCAAAAATCTGCTTACCTGTGTATCTGGGACAAGTAGTTTGGTTGATGAGTGAGTAATGACTTGTTTGCCTTTGGGCATACAAAACTTAACAGCTTGCTGTGGTGATTATGATTATAATGACAATGGTAATACTAATAATATTCATGAAAATGGATTAGAAAAAGCATGAAAACTGCTCACTCATGGTTCCTGTGATGATCGTAAGAGAAGAGCTGATTATATAAGATGTCTAATGATAGATGCCTTGTACTGAGAATTGCCTTAAGCTCTTAGGCTGTGTATTGTTTTTAGAACCTGCATCTCTCTTTTCCTTTCTAATTAAATTAAAAAAATGTGGTGCTAGAAACTACCCCTGTGTATACTTATTTTAAGATGTTTTGCTACATGGTACTAGGTGTAAGTCACTAAGCACGCACAGGTGGAGGTCACCAAAGATATGGTTTGTTTTTAAACTAGCTAACAGCTGTGTGAACACAGCTTGTGATGTGTATTTAAGTGGTGGGCTTTTAAAAAAATGTCTTTTGCTGTTCTCTGTTCCTAGTTTAGCGATAGAGATTTTCACTGCAGTTTACTCAAAACAGGGAAAAGACCAATGTTTTAATAATTTGTGGCATACTGACAGTAAACTCTAGTGTAGGCTGCTTGTGTTCCCTATAATAATTCTTACATTACTAAAACTGCTGTTGGAAGGGCTTCAGAGAATTTAAGACCAGATTTCCAGAATATCTGTCAGTTTATTTGGATATAAAGAGACAGCTTTGCAGCGGAAAGCATTGTAATAAATGAAATAGAAGCATCTATAAAATGTAGTTATAAAGATAAAACCATTTTTGTAGGCTAACAAACTGTGTCGTTATATAAAATCATAAGCATGGTAAATATATATTTAGAAGCAAAAGAGAGAAAAAGATAAGGTCATATGAAATATGGATGAAAATTAATGGAGTTTCAGTTGATGGAAATTATTGAGAGCACAATAAATATTTTTTGTGAGTTACTTTTAGTCGTAAGTAAGAAGCGATACAGAGAAAGCTAGAGTATCTAACCTCAGAAAAGGAAACTGTAGAACTAAAGCTTCAGAACATTGCAGAGGCTTTATTAATATTTATAAATCACATCAAAGTTCTCAGATAAAAGGATTAGTGACCTTTTTATTTTTATTGTTAGCCAGCTATTAGTAAACAATTTATAGTTTTGCTTTTGCCGTATTTGCCAAAAGTAATAAATAGTTGCCTTTATATTGCTTTTTTTTTCCTAGCTCTTCCACCAAACAGTAAACTCACTGTTGCGATCTTTCCTTTCAATCTTAATTATACTGAAATGGACATTACTTATTGCATGGTGTTGCAGGTTTATGCATGTTCATATAAAAGATCCAAGATTGTATGCATGACATGACAACAAATCTTAATGTGTACAAGGAGTACATTACCAGAAATCCAAACATATTGGTTTAAAACAATTTTTCTCTTTTGATGTGTGTCTAATATGAAAGATTTAGATCTATAATAAACCTATAAAACATATTTATTCCATGTTCATACTACCTTTTATATGTAATCTCTTCATACATACTATTTTAATGTTTTTGGTATACACATTGGATGAAGTGATAGACCTCTTTATAAATATACAAATTGTTTTCTTCAGTTGTTGTATCTTTTTTAAGAATATAGAACAATATCTTCAGCTATTGTAAATCCAGACCTATTCTGTTAGCTACAATATTTTACAGTAGCTGAGGAGTTAGAATTTTATTTTCTTTGAGAATACTGAGTTTACTTTCTTCTAGTGGCCCTTTCTTTTTGATGGTTTATGTGAAATTAACAGATTCTTCTTCAAACATACAAAATTATTAGCTTGTTCTTCAGCGTTTTTTCTCTCTTTTTCGAGAAGATATTGCTGTTGGCATTTTGCTGAATAAAGTAATGCAATGAAGAGTACTGTGGGCATCCATAGAAACTGAAGAATTTTAGTCTACAACAGTGAGTAGAGTAGTCTGAGAGCATCAAAGGAGGAGAATATTTGCTGACAGGAGAAGTGAACTAATTCAAAAGTGATTAAGGCTCATCTTTATGCACAGAGCTCTACCGCAGCTAATATTAAAATCTTAACTGCTTCCTCATGCAATCACCAACATCGACAAGAATAAGTACACTGCTCAGCTCTAGCAATGACAAGCAGCAGACTAAAGGAAAGTAACACTGTGAAAAGGCGTCGCAAACTGCATCCTGCAAACCTCTCTGTGATTTGATGACTAACGCATTACCAGACCTGATCAAATACTGAAAAATTTAGTAACATTAGTGTGAGTAAGTCATATAAAATTAATTTGGTAGCATTCATGACATTTTAAGTTTTTAATTTTGTACAAATATTCATAAATTTGATATCTATGCTTTTGTTTTTTCCCTTTGGGCTTCCTAAGGAAACAAAGTTTCTGTGGTCACATTGTCTGCCAGGCGTCGTAAAGAACCGTGAACCCGTTGGCCAACATGAGTTCGATGACAGAGCAAAAGATTTCACAGATATTATGTTCTTTCAACAGAAATGTGAAAAATGACCTCTTACAGTCACCAAGCTGTTGGTAGGGTCTGCAAGTTGAAAAGCAAGGTTCAGCTACGTAAGGCTTGCTTACTGGACCGTAGATGCCAGCTGACCAACCACTTAACCTGTCTATTGTCTAGTCAGTAAAGAAAGAACATATATAGTTCCTGTGTGACTACAGCACGTGCTGTGTCTTGTCCAGCAAGTGTGGCAAGCAAGGATGGGGTAGAGATGTTTTAGGATGCTATCACAGATGGAATGTTTTAACATGGTTATGATTTAGCAGCAATTCCGACAATTCAAGATTTATTAATGGTATGAAGTAAACCAAAGGTTAAATTTTAGCAGTACTTGATGATTAACCAATTTAAAGATTAACAAGATGATTTGGTAGGATGTATTATAATTAAAATAGCAACTTAATTACAGATTTGAAGATGCCAAGATTCACACTAACTTACTACAAGGTGCCCTAAATCAAAATATATATATATTTACACATATGTATAAAACATAAAGTGTGCAGACAGAAATATTTGCATCCAGTGAAATATAGATATCCACACTCATGAAGGAAAATATGTGTATTCAAACACCTAGATAGGTAGAGATGTGAATAAAAGAGGCTAGCCTATAGGTAAAATTTCCTTCTCGAGTTTAGAGTAAATATTCACAATGCATCAGGAGATAATTGAGACTCAAGGAAGGAGCTTTGCCTCGACTTTCTGTTGGCTTTGTCAGCAGACAATCCACGGAGTTGGTATCTGGGAGGTGTCCCAGCTCAAGCTCAGGTGAGATGCTGGTCACAGCCAGCTGCGATCCAGGAAAGCTCAAAGGGTCTCACTTGAAATCGCTATTTATAGGGTCTAAGATTATTGTCTTTAGTCAGGTACTTTTCCATTTCAGCCCAACTCAGATGGTGAAATATTCTGGTATTTTCCACCAGTCACGCAAGCCTTGAACTTGCTGATTCTGGGGTTTCTGGCATCACCCTTTCTGGACCGCAATCCAGGTACAGATGTAACAGGTCAAGTGACAGGGGAAGCAGGGACCTGATACGTTAAGGAGGTGCCTTTTGAAATTCACCTCCAACTCATGTAGGTTGGTGTGTAGCCCAGGTGTGGGAAGCAGGAACCTGGTATGTTAAGGGGGTGTCATAATGCTCTGGTTCGCTGCCTTTTGCAGTCCACACCTGGCTCATCCTAGGCCGAAGTATGGTCCAGAAAAAGGAGAAGAATTGCACCAACCACTGAGCGGTCCAGGAGTAGGGAGTGGGCTGCACCACCACAGAAGCATAGATGTTGCAGATGGAGAGACGTGGGAAGTAAGCTATATGCTACTCTTGTGTAGCTTGGTTTCAGAATGTTTTGAGATACTGAAATAATCCTTACTTTGAATTCAGATAAATGGGCAGATAAACAGAATGAGATTCTGCTCAGAAAAGCTGTTAAGC